TTCTTCTTCTTCTTCTTCTTCTTCTTCTTCTTCTTCTTCTTCTTCTGAGACAGGGTTTTTCTGTGTAGCCCTGGATGTCCTGGACTTACTTTGGAGACCAGGTTGGCCTCGAACTCACAAAGATCCACCTGTGTCTGCCTCCCTTAGTGCTGGGGTTAAAGGTGAAGTACCTGTTTCAATACTGGGAAAATGAAAAGAAAGATTAAGAGGCCACCTGGGGCTGGAGAGATGGCTCATTGGTTTATAGCATGGGCTGCTCTTGCACAGGACCCAGGTTCAATTCCCGACACCCACACACAGCAGCTCACAGCCACCTCTAATGCCAGTTCTAGGGGATCTGATGCCCAATTCTGACCTGCATGTGATGCACAGACATGCATGCAGGAGAAATTCCTCTACTCATAAAATAGATAAAATAAAAATTTTAAAAGGGTCATCTAGATGGTTCATTGCACAAAGGCATTAGCTAGGACACCTGATGACTTGAATTCAACCCCAGAACCCACATGGTGGACAGAGATAACCAGTTCCTGAAAGGCCGCTGATCTTCACACACCTGTGTCACATAGTTCGGCATTTAAATTTTTAATTTTTATTTTATGTGTGTGTGTGTGTGTTTACCTGCATGTATATGCACGCATGTGTACCTTGTGCACGCCTGGTGTCCTCAGAAGCCGGGAGAGGGTATCAGGCCTCCTGGGGCTGGAGATAAAGGTGTAATGTGGGTGTTAGAAAATGGGCCTGGGTCCTCTGCAAGAGAAGCCAGTGCTCTCAACTGCTGAGTCATCTCTCCAGTCCCAAGAGTTGTTCTTAAGAGCTAGTGTGACCAGATGGTGGTGGAGCACACCTTTAATCCCAGCACTCAGGAGCAGAGGCAGGTGGATCTCTGAGTTCAAGGCCAGCCTGGTCTACAGAGTGGGTTTCAGGACAGCCAGGGCTACACAGAGAAACCGTATCTTGGAAAACAAACATGAGCATATGAGAGAGAGAGAGACACACACACACACAAAGGGATTCCAAGGGTACTCCACCGTGATGACGGAATAGAATATGCCAGTTGCTAAGGGTGTCAATGTGGGAGAGTCCTCAAGGGAAGATAAGGTGAGATAAACCTTCTACTGGGAACCCAGAGTAAAATATTTGAGGGTAAGAGACGGAGACGAGCCCTGTCTGATCAGGAAGTCCTGTGGTACCTGTTAGGTGGGGAGCAGAGCAGAACTGATGTTTTAAAACCTGCTTAGAGCAAGTTCAAGAAGAGCCTGGACACTAGACCGGGATTCAAAATAAAGAGAAGAGAAATGAAATGTAACTCAGCGGTAGAGCCCCTGCCTAGAATCCCCCAGTGAGGGGCTATGGGTGTGTCTCAGTGTAGAGCCTAACAAGTCGTGGGTTCAAGCCCCACTACCACATATAGAAAAGCATACATACAAAGATACTGCCCTTGTCTGGTGGCTTCCTAGGTCCTAGCTGCCTGCCGCACGGCCCAGGTTGTGACCCAGTACTGTGTAGGCGCCAACTACACCTGGCTGCTCGTGGAGGGTCTGTACCTGCACCGTCTGCTGGTGATCGTGGGAGGCTCGGAAAAGGGCCACTTCAGGTGCTATCTGCTTCTTGGCTGGGGTGAGCCCTGACTTCGTGCCTCCTCCCCCTCCCAGCCCAGCTTGTGCATCTCGGCACCCCCACTGCCCAGCCGATCCGCGTTCCCTCCCCTCCCACGCCCTCGACGAGGAATTCCGCGGGTTTGGGGCCTGGAAGGGGCTCGTGTGCACGCTGACGGCTGCGGCGGGGTGGGGGGCGGGGATCGGGGTCTGCACAGGGGGCCCCGCGCTTTTCGTCATCCCCTGGGTGATCGTCAGGCACCTGTACGAGGACACGCAGTGAGTAGCAGGGTCAGGAGGCGGAGCCTGGGCTGGGGGGCGGGGCCACGCGGGACCGGGGGTTGGGGGCGGGATGGGGTCTGGGAAGGGTGGAGACGTGAGTGCTGGGAGGGGTCTAAAGGAGTTACGGACTGGGGAAGGTAGTTCAGAAGGCCTCCTGGAAACCGGATGGGGTTGTGTGTGTGTGGGGGGGACTGTGTGTCTCAGCTCTTCCCTGCCTCCTCCAGGTGCTGGGAGCGCAACGGAGTCAAAGCCATTTGGTGGATCATTCGCACCCCCATCCTAATAACCATCTTGGTAGGGCCGAATTCGCCTCCTCCAGGCTGTGCTCAGGGATTTCCCACTCTGGGGAAGAGGAGTGCCAGCCTCCTGTCCCACCCCAGAACTGAACGGCTTCTGGCTCAGCCTCTCTCTCCTCACAGATCAATTTCCTGATCTTCATCCGCATCCTCGGCATCCTCGTATCAAAGCTGAGGACAAGGCAGATGCGCTGCCCGGACTACCGACTAAGGTGAGGGCAGGCTGAGGGCCCAGGGAGGGAAGCGGTGGGGCCAGGCTCAGGGGCGGGGACCACCGACACCGTCTCTTCCCAGGCTGGCCCGCTCCACGCTGACGCTGGTGCCCCTGCTGGGTGTTCACGAGGTGGTGTTTGCTCCCGTGACGGAGGAACAGGCTGAAGGCGCCCTTCGCTTGGCCAAACTGGCCTTTGAAATCTTCCTAAGTTCCTTCCAGGTGCTCAGACCCACGGGTGCAAGCCCTCCACTCTTCCACTTCGGGCATTCCCTCCCTCGGGCGTGGCGATACCATCGTTCCCTGGGGCAGCCACTGCCTGGAGTGCGCCCGTGGGATTTCATTCTTGCGTTCATCTCGCTTGCACAGGGCAGAAAACTCCTGGGCTGGGGAGCCGGTGGGCGGGGGTGGTGGTAGAGGACCACATCGCCTTTCCTGGCACTGTCTCCGGGTGAGGAGCAAAGAGCCGCGGGGTGGACTGAGCTGGGGCAGAGTTAGTGTCTGGTGCTTATCAGCTTCATGGCTTCCTTTGCCTTTGGGTGAGGCTGAGGTGAGACAGCCCTAAGGTGCAGAACTCAAGGAGGTAGGGAGTTCCCAAATGGGAGGCCAGTTCTTGCTTGCCTTCCCTAGTCCTCACCGCACTGAGTCTGTGTTCGCCCCAGAGTGGGGACAGCATCAGGCTCTCCCATGAGACTGTATTCATGTGGAAGCAAGAACAGATGGAGCACGTAGGTACCGAGCTGCGACCAGGAGCCAAATGGTTGGCCCCCTACGCCGTGGCAGACACAGGGAGCCACACGCAGCCAGTCACACACGCCTGGGAAATTGTAGAAGGAGGACCCCTGAAACCATAGGGTAGCTAGTGTGAGGGAGCGCGGTGAGGGTGCCTGCTATAGCAACAGGGACAGAGAAATGAGAGGGGGACAGTTCCTTGAGCCCAACTTCAATTTGTTTCTTGTTTTGTTTTTTCTTTCCTGGAAAAGGGGTATGTGATTTGAATTAGATTTTAATGGGACTGTAGAAAACCCTAAGAAGTCCCTCAATAATAGCCAGTGTTCATAATTGACTTGAAAATTAACCGGCCTAAGCCAGGCATGGGGCCTGAAACCGGTGCTCTGTCTCTAGCTGCCTGAGCATGTGTTCCACGACTGAGCAAACCTCAGCCCCCGTAATGAATTAATTAATTGCTGTTTTCGAGACTGGGTCTCACCGTGTAGTTCTGGATGGACATGGAACTCTGGGGACAGGGTGTCCTCAAACCCGTACATATGTCTCCCTCCGCTTCCCAAGTGCTGAATTAAAGGCGTGCACCACCACACCCGGCTGAACACTACATCTTTTTACACACTGCAATTCTTCCAACCACCGCCTTCATTGTCTCCAGGCGAGGAAACCAAGGCACAGCGTGGTTAAGCAATTTGCCTTGAATGCGGAAAGCAGGGAATCGGTTTCTACACTCAGGATGCTCAACTTCCGGCCCCTGTTCTCAGCCTTTGGGGGTCGGGGGAGCGATGCAGGGAGCTGGGAGCCAGCAAGCAGGTGCCCTCAGTACCTAGGACCAGGGCGGTAACAGCCGCAGCAGTCTGGGGCTGGAAACAATGAGCTGGAAACTCAGAGCAGCGACCTGACGTCGCTCTTCTGGCGCTCCTCTCTTGGCAGGGGTTCCTGGTGAGCGTGCTCTACTGCTTCATCAACAAAGAGGTAGGGCCCGCCCGCGCCCCCTGGCGGTCACGCTGGGGACGGCGCCGCCCTGAGCGCCCCCCCACCCCGTTGCAGGTGCAGTCGGAGATCCGCCGGGGTTGGCGCCACCGCCGCCTGCGTCTCGGCCTCGGTGACCAGCGCCCCGGTTTGCACTTGGAGCTCGGACCCCCGGCCCCGCCCCCGCGCTCTGCACCCCGGGAGGCCCCCATTGGCAACGCCTTGCCCTCCGGGATGTTGCATGTACCTGGAGATGAGGTCTCGGAAAGTTACTGCTAGGTAATGGGACCTCTGTGTCTGTACAGTTAGCATGTACTGAGTGCCTACTGTGTACCTGCCCCAGTGTGGGGAATGCTGGGGAAACGGGGAGAAGGAACTGGAAGACAAGGTCCCTACGTGTATATAATTCTTGTGGAATGGCCTACGAAAAGAGCTGAGGTGTCTAGGACAGCCGGCTGCGAGGCCACTTGTGAAGATGTGGTGCTTAAGCCATGTTTGAAAGAAGCGGAGACAACTTGAAGAGTTTGAGGACAAGATTCCAGGGAGATGGAATAGCATGTGAAAAGGCTGAGGGAGAGGAAGGAGGAATGGAGAAGGACTTCAGTGGCTCGGCTGGGAAAAGCCAGGGTCTGCAGATGGGGGAGGAGCGATGAGGAAGCTGGGGTTTCACTCCAGGCGCACCGAAGCTGTTGTTTTTAACGCGAGGTACAGCACTTGCATACGCCTGAAGGGCGGAAGATCCCTGGGACCGGAGGCTTCCCAACCTCCATGTAGGTAGGGTGGACTCCGTCTCTCCAGCCCCACACAGATTTTAGCAGGAGTGTCTCCACAGCACTCTGCCCCCATAAGGGACAGGTTATCAGGGGCAGTGTGAGTTGGGAGCCCAGCGAGAGGAGTACAGGTGGCCCAAACAGGGAGGGGCTTGACCAGGGTGGAGACCACAGAAGGGGGAGAAGGATTTGCTGATGGATCCCAAGAGAAGAGTCAAAGGAGACTGCAGTGACAAGAGAGAGCTCAAAGGGCTCTTCCGGGTGGGAGCGCGCTGAAGTGTTCCGCCCTGGGAAATCCTGAACAGCGGGAACGAGCTGTGGGTGAGAGCTGGCCAAGACAAGAGGAGCCTGGGGTCAGTGGAGGTAGCCAGACCCGCAGTGGGCAGTTAGGACACACTTCTAGAGGGCTGGGAAAGTTGTGGGGGTGCAGCCTCATTGTGGCTGCACACAAGCCTCCTTTATCAGTGCGGGATGCTGTGTTCCCCACAGGTTCCCAGAAAGATGTGCCCCATAACTTGACACTGCATTCGACACCTCAGGCTTGGCTTCTGGTGGAATGGAGGCCCTAGTAAACCAAGCTTGAGCGGCAGTTGCTTCTTTACGGGGTGGAAAGGGACATGATGAGGGTGTTTGTGTGTGTGTGTGAGGTAGTCTGCCACAGATGAATAAGCCGCACGTGGCCACAAGAAAACATGGACCCTGCAATGCCGCTGTGTCCTTCCCTAAGAGAACCTTGATTGGAAACTATTGAATACATATGTTATATTAAAGTTGTGTGTGTGTGCATGCCGCTTCTCCAGAAGGCAGCACAAAAATAGCAGAGCTGGGCAAGGGGTGGCACTCATGTACTCCCAGCATTTGGGAGGTGGAGGAGTTGAAGGTCATTTATCCTGATGGAAAGCAAGTTGGATATTTGAACTATGTGCCAAATATTTGAACCTGTCTCAAATAAACAGCAAAAGCAGCAAGAACCAACCTAGTTCATTTCTTAGTTGGGCTACTGTATTAGCTGTCACTAAACTCCCAACTTGTCCGTCCTGTCCCTTCTCTGGGATCTGTATGTTCAGGACCCTGTGGAGTCACTCATTGTAGAGACGCTTCACTTACTCATGGTCCACCATGTCTGGCCAGTGTAATCCCCAAGAACCTCTGTTTTGGCTTTCATCCTCTGAAGGGGTCATTCAAGGCAATCAAAGACAAGGGCACCATTGCCGCACCTTCACAGGCAGCCTTATTTACTTCCCGAGTTTTCAGGCTAGTGAGGGCGAAAGGGAGACCCTGGCCTTCCCCTGCAAATAATTCCATCAGGAAATGGCAATGTACACCCGTAATCCCACCATCCAGGAAGCTGAGGCAGGAGAATTGCGCCAATCTGAGGCCAGCCGAGGTTACAGAACAAGACCCTGTCAAAACAGAAAGGGTCAGGGGATGGCAGTGGGCAAAGTGCTGGCCATGAAAGTCTTGGGACTAGAGCCCTGACCCCTAGTGCCCACACATGGAGTGAGTGATTGAGGAAGACTTCCTGTGTGAACATGCACACACATGCACACTCCCACCATCATATGCAATTTAAAAAAAAAAGCTAGATAAAGGCGCCGTTTGGACAATCAGGTAAGGACATGGGGAAAAAAGGGAGCCAGGTGCCCAGGGCTGCAATTCCCTGCTGGAGAGGCAGGCAAACATTTTCCATGCCTAGTGGGGAGTGCTTAGGGGGACAGGGCCGGGACTGGAGCCTGAGCCTGTGACCTCAAGGCTTGATCCAGCCCTGCTCCTGGGTGAAAGAACCTGGACACAGGGCAGCTGTGTGGACTGACATCACCCACCAGCTTGGCTTCATGGGTTAAAATTTAAAAAGTACATTTATTTATTATTTATACAGTATTCTGCCTGTACGCCTGCCTGCACACCAGCTCAGTACCTTTGGATGAACAGCCAGGGTTCTTAGCTTCTGAGCCATCTCTCCAGCCCTTAAAAAAGATTATTTTTAAAATAATTTATGTGCACCAGTGTGAAGGTGCCAGATCCCTTGGAACTGGGGGCATAGACAGTTGTGAGCTGCCATGTAGGTGCTGGGAATTGAATCCAGGTCCTTTGGAAGAGCAGTGTTCTTAACCACTGAGCTATCTCTCCAGCCCCCTTAAAAAGATTTTTTTAAAAGTATTCATTTTGGTTTTTTAAGACATGGTCTCAGTGTAGTCCTAAATGTCAAAAACACACAATACATAAAGGTCCAGCAGTCATACTTACCCCCACTGAAGCTCTTTAGGTCACCACATAGTTACTCTATTATTATTATTATTATTCTGTACATAGTAATTAATACAGAAAATTATTATAGCAGCAGTTATTCTTAAACCAGCTTTTTTCCAAATAAAAGACACAGAAACTTGGTATATTTATAATATGCCTTCTTAAAATACTAGAGCTGGGCAGTTATCAACCCTCTAACCTATCTTGTCTGTTTTCCATCTAAAATCTCAAATACACGTTTCTTCTGAATCATCAGGCCAGTCCTCAGAGCAAGCTGTTCTTGGCCATGTGCTCCTGGTCTGTGTCACCCCATGGTGATCTCTTGTCCCCCTGCCATCTCCCCTCTTTAACTCCAAACTGAGAACCTAAGCCTACCTCTCTGTGCCCAGCCCAGGCTGTCAGCAACTTAGACCAACTAGGGGCAATTGGGGAGAGAAGTTACACTGTATTACCTGGTGTACCTGAGAATGTGCTCAGCTGGGGTGTAACCAGATCTTGGGGGCCAGCGATTAGCTGTCTTCTTCCACTGGTACGGTCACTGACTCCCCTGACTGTAGTTACAAGCAGTTTTGAGTTGACAGATGTCCGTATTGGGCACTAAACTCAGTAGCCACTGAGCCATCCCACCAGCACAGCCTGGCTGCTTATCTTTTTTTTTTTTTCTGGCTGCTTATCTTGATGTAGCTTCATTATTTGCTACTTGGGTGACTTTGGAACAAGTCAATGCCCTTTCTGAATCTCAAGAGGTTTCAACTTCATGAGCTCTATAGCCCTGTCATCCTAGTTGCTTGGAAGACCAAGACAGGAGGATTACAAGTTCAAGGGCAAATGGGAAACTTCCGAAGAAGGTCCCTGTCTCAAAACAGAGTGAAAGGGAGACTGGGAGATGGCAGTGATGAGAAGCGCTTGCTGTATGAGGAGCTTGCTGGCTACCAGTCCAGTTCAATGACTGTTTCAGGGGAATTGAGAGCTTGCTGAACACGTGAGACACTAGGTTCAGTCTGCAGCGCCACTAAGAGAGATGGCTTTAGAGTTCACACCAAGGCTCTTTCTGGCAGCTACTCAGGAACATGTGCCTGTGCTGACCAAGCAACACAATCTTCCCACTCTGCACCAGGGTTCACAAGGTCACTCTAGCTGTGGTTTCTACAGTTCAGGGGGGCGGCTAGGCTGGGCAGTGGTGGCTCACACCTTTAAAACCAGCACTCCAGAGGCAGAGGCACAACAACCTCTGAGTTTGAGGCTACCCTGATCTAAAACTGAGTTCCAGGGCAGCAAGGGCTACACATGGGAACTTTTGTCTCGAAAAACAACAAAACCCAAACCAAACCAAAAGAGGACAGTTAGGGGGCTGGAGAGATGGCTTAGCAGTCAAAAGCACTTGCTGCTCTTTAGAGGACCCAGGTTCGGTTCCCAGCACCCACATGGCTGCTCATCACTATCTCTGTAAACTTACCTTCAGTGGAACCCAAGCCTCCCTTTTCTGGCCTCTGTGGGCACCAGGGACAGACATACACGCAGGTAAAACACCCATGCATGTCTTATGTATTTTAAAGAGAGCGGCTATCCCTGACCTCAGGCCTATGATCTCCTACATCTTGTATTTGGAATTACCTGGAGGGCAGGGACAAAGGGGCTGCTGTACAGTCCAGAGCAAGGCACGGTCCTTCCACGATCCTCTTATAATTCCCACCTGCATCTCCCCCCAGGTTTGTCAAAAACTCCCTCTGCCCATGATAAACAGAGATCAATTAAGGCCATTTCTGTCTAGACTGTCTCCTTCAGAGATGTGGCTGATGTGCCTCACCACTCATGGGCCTGTCTTAGTACTCAGCCATGACAACCTGACAGTCTCTTCCCAGCCTCCCCGTTTACAAGACCCAAGGGCAGACAAGACATTGGAAAACAAACAAACAAAAAACCACACGGCTTTATTTCCATTCTTGGGCATGGGCTCACAGGGCTCGGCAGGGCAGGAAGCAGGCTCTCAAGAGAGGGAAGAGGCCTCTCCTCTACTTGCCGGCGATGAGCGGGTTCCGCAGCACCACGATGACTGAGTCCCCACGCAGGAACATCTTGGAGATGTAGCGGTCCTTATTGACAGGCTTGGACTTCTTCTTGCCCTTGCCGCTCTTCGGCACTTCAGTCCACATCTCCTTCACATTCTCCAGCACCATGTTGCAATGCCTAGTGGGACAGGGGTGGGTGGGAAAAAGCTAGAGTGAGAGGGGCCATTCTGAGTGACCATCTCTGCCTGGTACTGTGTGATCCCACCAGCAGCAGGCGCGGGGAAAGGTTCAGGTTCCAGGGCAGGGATGGGCAGACTGTAAGCGCTACGCTACCTCAGCCAGTCCTTAACTGAGGCTTCAACAAAGGCCTTGATCCCTCTGTGCCCCAGTTTCCTGCTTTCTGAAACAGAGATAATCTACTTCACAGGGCTGATATGAAGCCTGGATGAATGAATACAGTATTTCTGAAATACTCAGGACCCTGGCACACAGTAAAAAGCAATCAAAATGGCCCCACCTCTGCCGTTAACTTTAGGAAGTTAGAGAAACTCTTGCTCCCACCACACCCAGAGGGTCCTGGGGTTAGATGTGGCTCCCGACACATGAACTCCATGTGCTGCACTGTCCTGTCCTCACAGGGCCAGGAGACCATGTGTTCATCCCACAAACGCTTGCTTGGGGACAGCGAATGTGAGCAAACTACAATGACAGACACGTATGACTGGATCATAAGGCAAAGTTCTTTTTGAGACAGGGTTTCTCTGCATAGCCCTGGCTGTCCTCAAACTTGAGAGATTCGCCTGCCTTTGCCTCCCAAGCGCTGGAACTAAAGGTGTGCGCCAACATGCCTGGTACAACTCATCACCTTCTATGCTATCTAAAACAATTAACCAGGCAGAATGGCATGTTTCACGCCTATTATCTTAACACTTGGGAGATGGCCGCAGGAAGATCAGAAATATAAAGCTAAGCTCTGGGACTGGAGAGATGGCTCAGCGGTTAAGAGCACTGGCTGCTCTTCCAGAGGTTCAAGAGTTCAATTCCCAGCAACCACTTGGTGGCTCACAACCATCTATAATGAAATCTGGTGCCCTCTTCTGGTGTGCAGGCATACGCACAGGCAGAACACTGTAATAAATAAATCTTAAAAAAAAAAAAAAAAAAAAAAAAGGTATCCTTTGCTACATATACAGTCAGCTTGAGCTACATAGTTAAGACCCTGCCTCAAAACAAACTAGAAAACATTAGAAGACACTTGGCATTGATGTCTAGCCTACAGATGAACAAGTTAAATAGAACACCAGTCCCGCCCCACCAGTGAAGCTACTAGCCATGCACACAGTACACAGCTACACATGCAGACAAAATACCTAAATGCGTAAGAAAGAGTAAAAGTAAAAAGGAGCCTGGCGGTGGCGGTGCACACCTTTCATCAGAGGCAGAGGCAGGTGGTTTGCTGTGAGCTTGAGGACAGCCTGGTCTACAAAGCAAGTCCAGGACAGCCAAGGCTACACAGAGACAGTTTCATATAACCAAACAAAACCAAAAACCAAGCACCCCCACCTTCTGATTTTTTGAGACTGGGTCTTGCTGTGTGACCCTGGTTGGTATTGTAAGTGCTGAGGTTAGAGCTGTGTTGTCACCATGTCCAGCTTATGATGATGACTCTTCTGGAATAACCTTTCCTTTACGCCCCTCAGACCCAGCTCCCCCCAGCATGGTACTCACCTGTCAAAGGCCTTCACCCGGCCCAGGAGCTTCTTGTTGTTTCGACAGTTAATAAGTACTTGTGTGTTGTTCTTGACTGACTGTGTAAGCACTGAGAGGGGACCTGTGTTGAATTCCTCCTCCTCCCGCTTCTGCAGCTCCTCTGGAGTCATCTCACTCTTGGGTTTGTTGAGGAGACTCCTGGATAGAGACCCCATGGGGGAGATGGGTTCAGGATGGATGTGTGAATGATTAAAGCCACACTGTCCGGTGCATCCCCAGCCTGGACCCCAAACACCCTCCCTGGCTCAGTCTTTCCTGGAGGTACAAAAGACATTTCCAAGTCAGCCTGTCCCAGCTCATCCAGCCACCTATAGCTTCCACCCACTGTGTCCCCTGTATCTTCATTGATGGAATTCACTGGGTTCTGTAAGCCACACTTCTGTTTTGGGGACAGAATCTCATGTAGCCCAGGCTAGCCTTGAACTTGCTATGTAACTAAGGATGACCTTGAATTCTCTCTCTTCTGAGACAGGGTCTCGCTGGGGAGCCTTGGCTCACTCACTTTGTAGACCAGGCCGACCTAGAACTCACAGGTATCCTCCTGCCCCTGCCTTCAAGTGCTAGAATTACTAGCATGCACCACGGCACACCACTGCTTGAATTCTCAATTCTCCTGACTCTGCCCATGGTCTGGGATTACAGGGGTCCACCCTCATGCTTGGAACTCAAACCTTACATCAGATCTAGCCTCACATCTTGTCACCCAACTCCACAATACATCCAGATTCTGGCCATTTCTATCCACGGCCTACACTTCCATCATCTCTCTCCTGGAGCCTCCCCCACCCACAATGTCTCACTGTATAAGCCTGGCTGGCTTGGAACTCAAGACTGCCTCCAGAGTGCTGGGAATATAGTCATGTGCCACTACACCCAGTTGGTGTGGAGCTGAGGACCAGACCCTGTATCTATGGTAGCTAAGTACTCTGCCCACTGAGGAAAATCCCCAGCCCAAGAATTGTCCTTTCAGTGTGCCCTAATATGCAGCCATTTTTTTTTTCTACTCAGTTCTTCATTCACACCCCTGATCATCTAACACATTACTCTATGGCCTTCCCACCCCATACCTTTTATAAGCCCCAGTGATTTGTGATTTTTCTTTTCTTTTTTTTTTTTTTGGTGGCAAGGACCTTTTTAATTCACCATGTGTCTAACTTATAATCCATCTACATGCTATCTGTTCAATGAAAAAACACGCCCAATCACTGTAGTAGCTTGCTACTCTGCAGTCTCTTAATTAGGCTGAAAAGGCACCTGTCTGATCTCTAATTTATCCTGGTTAAATTCCATACTTTTCACTATTTCTAGTAGAACTTCTCTCCTCGACAAGCTCTTTACCCATACGACCACTCCCACTTAAAATTACTACTACTTTTGGAAACGGCCTCGCTATGAAGCCCAAGGCGGGCCACCAACCAGCGATCCTCCTACCCCCGCCTCTCAAGGCCTGGGATTCTAGGCATGTGCCATCAGGCTCAGCTTTCCCCTTACAGTTCACTTCCACAAGGCTCAGCACCTAGGAGAGTCCGCCGCCCGCCGTGGAATAAAGCGGTCCTCTCTGCGGACACTACTTTTGCTCGAGGAACCCTGTTTCTAGCCATGAGCCCCATTTCAACCGTTAATTAGCTAATCCCCCTCCACCTCCGTGTTCCCGCCGAAGCCCAGCCCGGCCTCACATGGTGGAGGTTCCGCTCGCAGATCACTGCCGCCTCCAACGCGTTGCTCCAGCCTCTGCGTAGGGTAATAGGAGGGGGGGGGACTTCCGTCTCCTGCGACTCACTTCCGCCAGCGCCTGCGCAGCCCTGCACCAGCGGGTGTGGGCGTGCCTTGTTGCCATAGCGACCCCTCAGGCTGCGCTCTGCCGTAAAAAAAAAAAAATGCTCAGAGGGAGGATCCAAGGCCACTGAGGATCACAGTGAGGGTCACTGCGCTAGACTACGGAGAGGAAGATAGGAGAGTCCGGCTGGAATTAGTCCCCCGTCCAACCGTCGAGGTAGGAGGGAAGCGCAGCGCCGTTTAAACACCCGCCAACCCTTCCCCTGGAGGCGCGGCTTCAGGCAAGCCAATCGGCTCCTCGCTTTGGGGGTGGGTGCCGCCTCTTTTTTCCCCGGAGGGACGGTTCCGAGTTGGTTCCTGGTTGACACCGGTGAGGGGCGTGGCCCCGAGCCCGCGGAGGGTTCCCCCAGATGCAAAGCGATTATTGGCTGCGCCTCTTCCGCGGGGCGGGCCCTAAGGTTTTCGGGCTGCCTTTTGGCTTGTGTGGCGCTCGGACGAGCCAGTCGCAATCATCTGGGGAACGTCGTAGCTGCTCGGTTCTCCATTGGGTTTTGTAACCTCTAAGAGGCGGATCTTGGCCTACACTCAAACCACAATCCGTGGGTCGGTTTCAGGGCAAAGCTACCATGAGCCCCTGGAGCCGCGGGCGGCCCCGGCAGCGCGTCGGGGATCGGGGCCTCCTGAAGCCACCCTCACTCTCCAAGGGCCGCCTGCTGCCGCGAGTGCAACTCCTGCCCCTGCTGCTGCTGGCTGTGGCCCTGGGTTTGGCTTTCTACATCATCTGGAATGGCTGGCACCCTGAGGTTGAGGAGCTGTCACGGAGCCGGGATCTGCGGGTGAGGCCTGGCTGGGGCTCAGGCACCGTCATTCCCTTTCCTTTCTGTAGTCTCAGGTTAGCGTGGCTGTATCGTATGGCGCTTGCCGCACGTACCGTTTCTTTATCATTTGAACGTATGCCGCTTCCCAACAGAATAAGGCTTCAGGCTTGTTTTGTAATAGCCCTCTCCGAAGATGACGGACCAGCATAGCAACCTTGGTAGATCTGAATTCTATGCCGCCAAGCCATCTATTTAGAAAAGTCTCCATCACCCGTTTTCTGTTTCCCGGTCAGGACTGCAGTAGGCTGGACCAGATTTGCTTTAAAGACTTTCTCCAAATCTAAGCTATATCCTTGAAGATTGGGGGGCTGCATTACCAAGAAAAGCCAGGGTCTAGTGGGCAGTGGCGTTCAGGATGGGGTGGGAATGTTTTTTGTTTTGTTTTTTAATTTTTCTTTTCCCCATCCCATTTCTCAACCAAGGTCCCGCTGCTGGGAAGCCTTCCGGAGGCCAAGCTGCGGCGGGTGGTGGGGCAGCTGGATCCGCAGCGTCTCTGGGGAACTTTCCTGCGTCCCCTGCTGATTGTGCGACCCCCGGGTAGTCCTGGCAATCTCCAAGTGAGAAAGGTAAAGGATCTTACTTCCAACCCCCCACCTCCTTTCCCCAGCCTGTCAGGAAGTGGAACTCAGACACCTAAGATCACAGAACAGCCAGGAGGCCGACTAGGGCTCTGATGTGTGGGAGGTGTGTGAACCAGATTCTCATAGTGGTGCACAAATCCCAAACTATACCACCCCCACCAGAAGTTTACTATATGTTAGGTACAAGCAACGTACTGTTTTGTGAGGTTGGAACTAATATGATCTGTACTATACATATGGGGAAACTGAGGTCCAGAGGGTTTATTACAGGTTGTCCAAATCCCACATTACTTGAAGTTAAAAATCTAAGAAAGCTGGCTTCAGAATTGGTGGTGTTAGCTTTGCTTTGTTGCCATCAGATACAAAGCAATGTTTTGGATCCACCTTAGATGAACTAATTTCTTAACCTCTCTAGGACTCAGTTTCCTCATCTTCAAAATGGGGATATTCACTGACATTGTTGATTTCATACGGATCCTACAATAGGTTTGGCACATAGTGAGATCCTTTTAAGAGGAACTCAGAGTATGGCTTAATGGGAAAGCACTTGCTTAGAATTCACCACTGTGAGGTTGGGGCAGGGCTCAATGGGAGAAGGCTTGCCTGGTGTCCACCAGCTTGGGGCTGGGGCTGTGTAGGCAGCATGCAGCAAGTCCTGAGTTCAATCCTCAGCACCATGAAGAGAGACAGGAAAAGGGAGAGGGTGGGTAGAAGTGAGTTGAAGGCCAGAGTCAATGTGATTTTGGAAGAATCAACACGAATAGAGAGAAAGGGGAGGCAGGGAGGGGAAGAAGGAGGGAGAGAGAGAGAGAACGAACTGTCCATAGCTGGCTGGGTATGGTGGTGGCCTGGGTCTATAATCCTATCATTCAGGAAGCAGAATATGGATTTCTGGGCCAGCCTAGAAATAGCAAGTTGGAGGTTAGCCTGGACTACTTAGTCAGAATCTGCCTCAAAATAAAGCCATGAAAAGTTTTGTTGCTATCAAGAGGTGTGTTTACTCCACATCTGGCATCCAGATGTTTCTCAGCAGAAGGATATGTTAAGGAAACAGCCTAAACCAAAGTGGGACTTTCTAGTCACCCAGACTGCTCTGTGTGGCTCCAGTTACAAGGCCCTTCTCCCCACCTCCTCCCCAGTCCCTGTCCACCCTCCTACCTCTCTCTTGCCACTAGTTCCTGGAGGCCACGTTGCGGTCACTATCAGCAGGCTGGCATGTGGAACTGGACCCATTCACAGCCTCAACTCCCTTGGGGTCACTGGACTTCGGGAACGTGGTGGCCACACTTGACCCAGGAGCTGCTCGTCACCTCACCCTCGCCTGCCATTATGACTCTAAGTTCTTCCCTCCTGGGTCACCCCCCTTTGTGGGGGCCACAGATTCAGCTGTGCCCTGCGCCCTGCTTTTGGAGCTGGCCCAGGCCCTTGATGGGATGCTGAGCAGAGTCAAGCAGCAGGTAAGGAGTGAGAGAGAGCTGCCTGTCCCTAGTCCACATCCGAACTTGCTTCTTTTCTGAGATAGGCTTTCATGTTGCCTAAGCTAGCCTTGAACTCACCCATTCTTCTGCACCATCCTTCCAAGCAGTGAGACAGCAGGTACATGCCATCACACCCACTGTCACCCTTGCTTTCTCCAACCTCTGTCTGTGCAGAGACAGACTTTTACCCCCTTCCCCAACCAGGTCTCATGTAGGCCACACCAGCATCAAACTCAAGAATGACCTTGAACTTGTGATCCTCTGCTCCATTATAGTCCTTCACACACCACCATGTCTTGATATGTTATCCTGGAGACTGGTCCCAGGGCTCAGTGCATGCTTAGTTAGCACTCTAGCAACAAAGCTACATGCCCATCCTCCCACAGGCATCTTTCTACATCCTAAATGACAGCTCCTGCCTTCCTGGGTCTGGACACTTTCCCATAGACTGCATCACATTCTAACCATAAGCCAGAGGCCTGAGGGTAGCCCACGAGATGCAGTCTGTTACTTTCATATTGCTTTGTCATCACTCCACTGTAGCCACACCCTTTTCTGTGTCCCTCCAATCCACAGGCTTCATTTCTACCTCATTAGCATTTGCTGTCTACGTTGCACAGATCATGTTTTTCTCACATAAGGTTTTACCCACTTCCTGGCTGGCTTTCAAACAGTTTTTTTTTGGTTTTGTTTTTTGTTTTTTGTCAAAGAAACCTTTCAGACCATCCTCAAATATCTCCCTGTCACTGCTCATTCCTTATGGTACTGATGACTTGTTTTCTTTAATCATCGTTCTTCTACTGTCTCCCTGAGTCAGAGTAAAGTTGGACCAGAGTAGAAATCTGTGGAATGAATGAAAACACAAATTTCATTATGTTTCTCTCCTCCTCAAACCCCTTCTTTGGCTCTCCAATACTAATGCAACAAAACAAAGCCCAGAACTGGGGCTCTTGCTAACTCCTCTGCTCTCCTCTCAAAGCCCTCTGGCACCAGCTCTGGCCTAGGCTGTTCCCTTGCCTGAGAACACTGTTCCCTCTTTGCCAGGCCAACTCCTATGGACTCACTCTCAAATATCCATGTCTAATAGAACCGGTGGCCTCTGTCAGGCACATCACTCTGCAGCCTCCTGGTCTTGGAAGCATCTGTCCTAACCATGTTTCACTGTTTGTGTAGTTAGTATTCCCTTGTGGGTCTGTCTGTCTTGCCAATTGGGCTTAAGTACCAATAACCAGACTGACTAGTTTTTCAGTGCTTACAGACCTGGATTCAAATGTGATCCTGTGAATAGAGCTGTTATTAACCCTATCCATAGATGGAGAAATTTAGTTAATCTTGGTGGCACAGGCCTGTAATCCTAGCTCCTCACACATGGAGGCCTGAGGAGCACAAGTTCAAGGGTACAGAGTGAGCTCAAGGATACCTTGGGCAATTTGGTGAAACCCTGTCTCAAAAAGTAATCAGAGGTCTGGGGATGTGGCTCAGTGGTACAGTGCATGACTGGCATATGGACATCCCTTGAGCACTCTCTAGTAACTCAAAGGGGGGGATTAAAATGGGCATTGTATAATCCCAGGTAGAGAGTCAAGAGGGATGGAAATCACAAACCAGTTTGGGCTATACTAGACTTTATTTCCAAACCACAATACTTAACTAAAGTTACCATATCCAACAAACACCTACAGCATGGATTTAAGCCCAGGCCTCTCGCTCGACCTGACTTCCGTCACTACACTTGCATGAGTAAGGACACTTGGTTTGTCCCACCCAAGCTGTGCAAATAGGCAGGGCATTTGGGTGGGCTGATGCCAAGGGTTGGTACTGATTTGGCGGCTTGCTCCCACAGGCAGCACCTGTGACCCTGCAGCTGCTCTTCTTGGATGGGGAGGAGGCGCTGAAGGAGTGGGGACCAAGGGACTCCCTGTATGGCTCCCGGCACCTAGCTCAGATCATGGAGTCTATACCACACAGCCCTGGCCCCACCAGGATCCAGGCTATTGTAAGATTCATTCCTCTGGGCTCTGGAGGAGGAAGCAGGGAGGGAGGAGCAAGGAGGGCAGGGTCAGTGGCATTGGACTCAGCCTCTAGCCCTGGACTCCTTCCCCCAGGAGCTCTTCGTCCTGCTTGACCTTCTGGGAGCACCCAGCCCAATCTTCTTCAGTCACTTCCCCCGCACAGCCCGCTGGTTCCAACGACTGAGGAGCATCGGTAAGGAGGGGAGGCCAGGGCCAGGGTGGGATAGGCACCTGACTTCTTTGTACTCATCTAGCCTTCCCTCCCCCCATCCCTGGGCTAAGAAACTAGGGCAAGAAACAAACTGATCCTATGAAGGTCCAGTGTAGGGACTAGTTTTTATTTTTTTTCCCCTAAGACAGGTTTCTCTGTGTAGCTCTGGCTGTCCTGAAACTTGCTCTATATATCAGGCTGGCCTTGAACTCACAGACATACTCTTGCCTTTGCCTTCCAAGTGCTGGGATAAAGGTGTATGACACCGCAGTTGGGCAACAGTAGAATTCTTATGTGAGCCTGCCCTGGTTTCAAACCCAGGTCTGCCTCTAGTTCTTACATGTAAAGCCTCTATTTCTTACATGTAAACTAAACATGGAGATAATACTAACAGGGGCACAGCTGTGAACTGGCCATCATGGTGGTGCGGGCCTGTAATCCCAACACTCAGGAAGCTGAGGCAAGGGGATTGCAAGCTCAAGGCTATCCTGGGATGCATAGTGAGTTCCAGGCTAGGATAAGCCGCCTGGTGGTGTTCACCTATATCTAAGCACATGGGAGACCAAGGCAAGAGGATTGTAATTCTAGGCAAGTGTGGGCTACGAAGCAAGACCTTATCTCAAAACAGGTAATAGCTGCTATTGGTCATGTATGCCTGTAATATCAGCACTTGGAAAGTAGATGTAGTGCAGGAGGATCAAGGATTCATGCCATCCTCAGCCACAAATAGAGTATGAGGCCAGTCTGCAGCTACCTGAAATCCTGTCTCTAAGAATGTCTAAATAAATTGAAAAATAGGGACATTAGCTGGCATGGTGACACACGCCTTTAGTCAGAGCACTCAGGGAGGCAGAGGTAACACAGATCACTGTTTGTTCAAGCCTAGCCTGGTGTACAAAGTGAGCCAGGACAGCCAAGGCTACACAGAGAAACCCTGTCTCAGAAAAAAACAAAAAGGGGGGAGGGGGGGACATTGGGGTCAGCGACATGGCTCAGTGGGTAAAGATTGCCTCAAAATCCTGGCAGCCAGAGTCAATTCCCAGACCCCACATAAAGTTGAAAGGAGAAAACTGACTCTACAAAGTTGTCCTCTGACCTCCACATGCACAAGCCACCCCTCCAGCCACACAGGGACAAATAAAAAAATAGAGGTACCTACCTCCTAAACAGAGGATTAAATGAGACTAGGGATAGGAAACTTGCAATAAAAAGAAACGCTTGGGGCTGGAGAGATGGCTCAGTGGTTAAGAGTGCTGGCTGCCCTTTGAGAGGTCCTGACAGCCTCTTCCTGGGCCTCCACAGGCCCCATGCACACGGGGCACAAGTACAGGCACCAGTGTTGTGTGGCACGGCTGACTACTGACTAACCTTGCTCTCCAACCCTGACCTGCCTCCTCCAGAGAAGCGCCTTCACCGTCTGAACCTACTGCAGTCTCACCCCCAGGAAGTGATGTACTTCCAGCCAGGGGAACCGCTGGGCCCTGTGGAAGATGACCACATCCCCTTCCTCCGAAGAGGTACTCATTGAGGCAAGGGGTAAAAGGAAGTCTCCTTCTCAGGCCTAGGGGCTGCTTGCAAGTGGCTCAGTCCTGATTTCCTCATCTATAGGGTGGGGAGTATCAAGGGCATCACATATGCAAATAGGAGTCAAGATTTGAGGCCAGCGCACAGCAAGCACACGGCATGCTGGGCAAGTGCTATTCCATTTCTTCACTGAGTGCCCAGGTAAGGGGTGGCGTGTCAGAGATACTCTACTGGGGCCCAGTCCACCTGCCTCTGTGCACACCCAGGGAAGCATTCAAAGAGCAGGAGCCCAGTGGAATACAGGAGTTCAGAGCCCAGGTTCAGCTGGGCAGTGGTGGTAAACGCCTTTAATCCCAGCAAGTGGGAGGCAGAGGCAAGTAGATCTTTGTGAGTTCAAGGCCAGCCTGCCTGGTCTACAGAGTGAGTTCCAGGACAACCAGGGCTACACAGAGAAACCCTCAAAAACAAACAGAACAAAAGCACAGGTTCAAGCGTGGTGACGTTTCAAATCTTGACTGTATTGTTTACTAGGAAAATCAGTATGCCTGTTTCTGTGCTTCAGTTTCCACAGCTATAAAATGGGAGTAGTAGTGCACAGGACTGTCATCTTAGCAGAATTACCGGAGCCCATAAATTTGAGACCAACAACGTAGAGTGTAGTTCAGTGTTAGAATTCTCCAGTGAGGGGCTGGAGTGTGGCTCAGTGGTAGAGCCCCTGCCTAGAATCCCCCAGTGAGGGGCCGGGGTGTGTCTCAGTGGTAGAGCCCCTGCCTAAGTTATCTTCGTACCAACCAACACCCTCTCATACCATCTTTTGCACCCATCCCTTGGCTAACAACACAAAGCTACCCTAAAACCTGAGAGAAGAATGTAAACAGCCTGGTCTCAGTAGAATGACGCCGTTTCTGAATAAATAGCTAAACATGATTGTTTAAATAAGGGTAATGATAGTAGATGCCTACCACAGCTGAGCCTACAGGCTGGAGATGTGGTTCCTTTGGTTCTTGCTTCTTGTCCATAAAGTCCTGGGCTATATGCCTGGCAGTGAGTAGACAAGGTTTGTTGGCACACATTTGTAATCCCAGCATTGGGGAGGTGAAGGCAAGTAGACCAGATGGTTACGGTCATTTGCAGCCCTGTTGCCTCATATATACCTAGTGAGGAGTAGGAATCTCTGTCTCTGTCTCTACAAGTCCTTCAGTTTTGAGGTCCTTAGATTTGTTATGTAAACAGTAATTTTTATTTTGTTTTGTTTTTTCAGGACAGGGTTTCACTATGTAGGTTGGGCTGTCCTGGAACTCACTATGTAGACCAACTGGCTTTGAATTTACAGAGATCCACCTGCCTCCAAGTGCTGAGCTTAAAAGTTTTTTGTTGTTGGTTTTTTGAGACAGGGTTTCTCTATGTAGCCTTGGCTGTCCTCGAACTCATTATGTAGACCCGGCTGGCCTTGAACTCACAGAGATATGCTTGCCTCTGCCTCTTGAGTACTGGATTATACATGACAATTACAATTTTTAAAAATAATTTACTTTATTTTATGTGCATTGGTGTTTTGCCTGCATGTATGTCTGTTAGAGGGTGTCAGATATTGAAGTTACAGACATTTGTGAGCTTCCATGTGGGTGCTGAGAATTGAACCTGGGTCCTCTGGAAGAGCAGCCAGTGCTCTTAACCTCTGAGCCATCTCTCCAGCCCCACTTACAATTTTTTAAATTATATTTATTTTTTTAAAGTTTTATGTATTATTTATGCAACCTTCTGCCTGTACACCAGATCTCACTATAGATGGTTGTAAGCCACCATGTGGTTGCTGGGAATTGAACTCAGGACGTTTGGAAGAACAGCGAGTGTTCTTAACAACCTCTGAGCCATCTCTCCAGCCCCTAAAATTACATGTCTTTATTTTGAGTGTGTACATGCATGGGTATGCCAGTGGAGGTCGGAGGACAACTGTGAGAGGCAGTTGTCTTCCTCCTTCCACAGTGTGCCAGGGATTGAACTCAGGTTGAGAGGCTTGGTGGTAGGTAGGTGCCTTTTCCTGCTGCTTGATTACTTTTCTTAAACAGTGGGCGAGCTTGGCATGCCCAAGTTCTTGTGTTGAGAAGCCACAGTGTCTTCCGTGTCTGCGGGCTGAAGTGGGTGCTCTGTAACTGTTGGTTGTAACAAGTGGATGAATGGCCTTTCCAGGTGTCCCGGTGCTCCACCTCATCGCCACACCCTTCCCTGCTGTGTGGCACACGCCTGCTGACACTGAGAACAACCTCCACCCACCCACTGTGCACAACCTGAGCCGTATCCTCGCTGTGTTCCTGGCCGAGTACCTGGGACTCTAGCCGGCAGACTGGTATCTTGAAGGGATCTTCCAGCCAGCTAGGGACTCGACTGGACCACCTTGAGCTGGCGCAGGGTAGCCAGGCTTGCCTCAGGTGTTTGCTTCAACTGTCTCAAGCCACCCTGTTTCAAGGATATTCAAGGAACACTGAGGGCATGAGAAAGCCAAAGGAGTCATTTGGTCTCCGCCCTGAAGTAAATGAGTAGTCTGGACTATTCCAGGGACCAAATGATGTGTCACGGGCTGGCGCCTGGACCAGCACCACCAACCAAATGAATCATCTGTAGCTAATGTTTCATGTCAGTTCATTTGCTTCACACAGACTCAGTTCTGATATCCACATGGACATGGGCTCCGAACTCAGGAAGGCAAAGCCCAACTCAATGCTACACCTTCTGCTTGGCTCAAGGGTGCCAACCTAGAGGGTAAGGGGAACTGAAGCCCACTGTTCCCATGGGGAAGCTACATTAAATGAGCATCCTCACTGCAGGTGAGGTCTTCCACAGTAAGAGACAATGAAGTGGTTCTCAACGTGCCTCACAGTGGAGACCCTTTATAAGTTAAGTATTTCAGATGACGCTGCCTCGGAGCACACATTGGGAAGTTCTGGGTTTGGCCGGTTTTAGGCTGAGAATGGACTGAACAGACGGAGATGCACCTGGGTGCAGGCCCCAGACCACCCTTTCCTTTTGTTGCCCTAGCTCACCTGGAACTTTAACAACAACAAAATAATCTATTTAGATAGATAGATTTTTTTTAAGATAAAGATACACACACATATGTTTATATAAATGTTTCTCCCTGTAGCCCTGGCTGTACTAGAACTCACTCTCTAGACCAGGCTGGCCTTGGACTCAGAGCTACACCTGCCCTTCTGCCTCAAGTGCTGGGAATAAAGGCATATGCCACCACTGCCTGGCTGTCCTGGAATTTTCTATGTAGATCTTGAACACAAGAGGTCTGACTCCTCTTCCACTGGCATTAAAAGCACAGGCCACCACACCCGGCCCTTTTTCTTTTCTTTTTTTTTTTTTTTTTTTAAGACAATCTGAACTATGCTGTCCAGATTGGTCACAAACTCAGAATCCTATTACCCAGTTCCCTGAGTGCTGGGATAACAGGTTTATACCTTGCCATAGGCAGCCAGAGGTTGTTTCTCAATTCCATTAAAAACAAAAACAAAAACAGGCTTCCTAACCAGGTGGTGGTTGAGTACGGCTTTAATTCCAGCACTTGGGAGGCAGAGACAAAAGGATCTCTTTGAGTGTGAGGCCAGCCTGGTCTACAGAGTGAGTTCCAGGACAGCCAGGACTACACAGAGAAACCCTATCTCAAAAAACCAAACCAAAACATAAGACAAAACAGGCTCAGAAGATCCACTCCAAGCCTACTGAACCAGTATCAATGGGAGGGGCAGAAGCAATAACAACAGAGTGGGTCTCATGGAATTCACCTTTAATCCTAGCACTCAGGGAGAAGTAAGTGGATTTCTGTGTCTGAGGCCACCCTGGTCTAGAGAGTGCGTTCCAGGACAGCCAGGGATACACAATCCCTGTCTCAAACAAAAGAATAGATACTAAGGGAACTGCCTTATCAACTGAGTTTAGAGAAGGTTATCCCTAAGGCCAGTTTGGTGAATGCGGTTGCTTAGAAAACATACCCCAGGAAAACCACAGATGGTGGGAACCACTCGGAAGGGCAGCTGAGTCACCTTAGCAGATAGAAGGTGTCCATTGGTTTTCCTAGTCAATTTCAGCAGATTTCATGGGAGACTTAGCCACAACGCAGGACATAAACTAAGCTAGGTGTAACGGCATGGGTCTGTTAATAACAACTCACAAGTTCAAGGCCTGCCTGGGATAGAATGAATTCAAAACCTGCTTGGAACAGGCTGAGAATGTAGCTCAGTGCTGAGAGTCCCTGCCTAGAATCCCCCAGTGAGGGGCTGGGGGGTGTGGCTCAGTGGTAGAGCCCCTGCCTAGAATTCCCCAGTGAGGGGCTGGGGGTTTCGCTCAGTGGTAAAACATCTGCCTAGAATCCCCCAGTGAGGGGCTGGGGGTTTGGCTCAGTGGTAAAACATCTGCCTAGAATCCCCTAATAAGGGATTGGGGGTGGGGGAGGGGGTAGCTCAGTGGTAGAGCACTTGCCTAGCATGTGTGGCCTCAACATGACATATACACAAACACACAAATTTACTGTCATATTGTGTATAAGCTGACACGAAACACATGAATTTCTTGGGTCTGTGAAAAGGCCTCAGTAGACAGAAATGTTTGTTGCATAAGCGTGATGGTCTCAGATTGATCCCTGGAACCTACAAGTGGAGAGATCTGCACACGAGTGCAGTGCCAAGTGAGTATACAAGTGAGTACTTGTATACTCACACATCACAAGCACCAGATGATATGAACTCAGAGATTGCCTGCCTCTGCCTCCCAAGAGCTGGGATTAAAGGCGTGCACCGCCATGCCTGGCAGAACCCCACTCCCAGCATGTCTCATGTAAGGAAAAATGAAGGGGTGGAGAGGTGGCTCAGTCAGCGGAATACCTGCACGCAAGCAAGAAGATCTGAAGTCCAAATGAACATAGATCTACGGAGAGTTGAGCATGGTGACACACATCTGAACTGTGACAGATCTGAGGTATTCACAGTGAGTGTAGCAACTGCCCTGATTATACAATAGGGACAATCAGGAATTCCTTCAGTCATAGACCACAGCCATAAGGGGCCCCTAATGCTGGATTCTTCAAAGAAATAAAAATCATCTTGTTCAAGCTTCTACTATTTTGAGACATTTAAAAAATACTAACTGACAGATGATAAATACTAAGTCCCTTTCAGGCTAAGGGACTTAGCTAGGACCCCTTCTTCTTTATCACCCCACCCTGCCAAGCACAGACCTATGGGTCTCTTCTGTTACCAGTTCCCCTCCCTTAACATCACAGACCAGTCTGGGCCCAGCTTTATAAATACTGATTTTATAGAAAGGACCAATTCAAAATTGGTCAGATGCCACACACTAGAAGTTTCCAGAACCACAAGGAAAAAAACAAAAACTCCGAAAAAAAAAAAAAAAACAAAAAAAAAACAACAAAAAAAAAACCCACAACAAAAATATCTTGGACCAAACTGCCTAAAAATCAAGGTTCCAGGTAACCAAAAGATTTTAAAGAAAGTTGTAGCTGGGGGCAGAGACCCTAATGCCTCACTGAGTACCCCAAGTACAAGATGAATCACTGAGAAATTCAGACTCCCTGTCCTTGCCCTCTGGCCTGCTTGCCATCCAAGAGTGAGGCAAGGGCTTCACAGCTTTACTGGGGAAAGAGTGACAAGAGCATAAAGGGAGTTTTCTACACTGCGGGGCTCTCGCTCCTTTCCCTAGAGGGAAGAGGGAAACTCTGGTAGTTTGAATTTCAGAAGAAAACATTTTTTATTTAATGAGGAAAACATCTAGAAACGGTGGGCTCCCTCAAAATAGTGCCAACTTGAATTGTGAGCTAAGGACCTGGACATGGCACCCTTGGAGCCTGCAGCGTCCTGGATAAACACAGCTCCAAAGATAACTGGGGGAGGTACAGAATGGGGAGGGCCAGCTAGAGGAAAGCCTCAGGTGGTACCAAAATTAGCTGCCGTCTGCTCCCTGCTGGTGGGTCCCTGGGATGGAGAGACTCAGGGCTGGGATTGGGGCTGGATGGAGGCAAAATTGAGATGCTGATAAAAAACAAACAGAAAAAAAACAACCCTCTCTGAGGGTTCATGGCCTTGGCTCTCAAGAGTAGAAAACCAACAGAGGTCAAGCAGGGTATTTACCCCAGTGACCCCCAAACCTAGTCCCAGTTCTGGTGGGAGATCAATGCTGCATGGACTGGTAGGTGTTGGCTGGGGACTCAGTTCTGTGCCCCAGCTCCCAGCAAAGCGGGCAGGGGCTAGGTATGGCAGGTGTCTCCTCATTGTCAGGCTTCACCTCCCCTCTTCCCGGCCAGCACGGCCGCCACCCACCCCATTGCAGGGCAGTACCCAGTTGTTGTCATGCAGGCCCAAGCGACAGCCTGGTGTCTCACGATCGGCTCTGCGGCAGCACATCCAGTAGGAACGTCCATAAGGCAGGTCATGGTGGTAGGGCTTGGGGTGCCAACGGCACAGTGACACGTCGCCCTTCTCATATCTCTTTCGGCACTGCTTACAAGGGTCATCGCGGTAGAGTGGGTCCCGGCTCCAGCGAGAGTCCGTGGCGCGTACACCGAAAGCCTCGATGATGCCTTTGAAGTGGTGGCACGTGCACTTGAGGGCTGCCAGGGCCCGGGTGGGCAGGAAGCTGAAGATCTTGACCAGCACGTGCTCAGGCAGTAGCAGCATATACTGCCGGGGCTCCAGAAGACGCTGGATTTTAAAGCGAATCTCCAGGAAGTCGTGTGACACGTGCCGGTACAGGCGGCACAGAGAGGTGTCCGTTGTGCCCTCAGAATCGTCAGGGCCTGGCACTGTGCTTGGTGTATCAGTTGGGGGTGGCTCAGGAGGCCCTTCTGGGCCCCGGGACTGGAGGAAGAAGAGCTGGCCAGGTGGGGGAGGTTCCTCAGGGCTCACTGTCAGGCACACAGTCTCTTCCTTCACGTTCTTAGTGCCATCTTTGCCAAAGAAGATACACTCATCCACTACACCAGTCACCACCACATCCACGTGGAATCCTGATGCACCACAGTCCCGGGCAGGAGGTGGAGGGGGTGCTGGGGGAGTGTCCTGAGGCCTGGCTGGGGTTGGTGTCTCAGCCTCACTGGCTTCGTCGGCCCTGGCCAGTAGGAACTCCACGTTGCTGGGAAGGGCATCCCTGGAGGGACTGATAAGCTGGTACAAGTCGCAGGTGATTTTGTCTTTGGCTCGAGCCCCAGGTCCAGGACTACCAGGGTAGGGACAACCAGGCCGACCTGCGCCCCCATTGGGTAAGCTGCCATCTGGTGAACGGGGTTCTCGGCCATTGGAGATGCGGAAAGCTATACGCACTTCACCAGGCCCAGGGCCTGGCCGTTCCTCCTTCCGGAGACCCTTGGTTGGAGGGCTGTCCCGCTGGGCCTCAAAGTGGGCCACTGCCTCAGCAACTCGGCTACAGTCACCACCACCAGACCGCCTTTCTGACCCTAGACCCTTGGCTGGTCCCCCCTGCTCAGCTGATACAAACACCACAGGAGCTGGGGTAGTGGGACGTGGGTAACTCTGCAGGGCCAGGGCAGCTCTCTGTTCCACCAGGGCCACCATTTCTGCTACAGAGAGCAGGTCTACGTCATCCCCGGATGAAGTGGGGGGGGCCTCAGTGGCAGGGGGCCCTTCTTGGCCCCCTGGGTCTGGAGGAGCCTTGGTGGGCTCAAGGCAGCGCCTCCTTCTCTTAGCTTTGGAACTGTCATTGCCCCAGTGCCCTTTGACTTTCATAGAGCTAGCCCGGCTACCTCCACCACACTGGTGGGCCACAAAGAAGGCCACCTTCTCCTTTGTATTTCCAGGCTTGATAACATACCATGTGTCCAGCAGGACTCGACCCTCATCACCAGCAGCTGCTGTAGAGAGGAGTGGAGCATGCGGGGAGGTGGGGGCTTCTGCAGCCAAGGCAGGTGGTGTGTTCTCTGAGTGTGCAGGCCCGTGATCAGGCTCAGTCCCGTTGCTTGTGTCAGGGCAGACTGGCGGCTTGAGGGCTGCGGAAGGTGGGCACGGCTGGTTCTGGGAGTATGTGCCGAAAGGCCGGGGGCACCAGAGCTGGAAGGGCAGGAGGCTGCCTCTGTCCATGTTGGTAGGTAATGGCAAGCAACAGCAGGTAGTCACTGAACCTCAGGACCAGGATGGTGGTGAGGAGCGCCACAGGCCACCTGGAGACATAGAAGGTTGGAGCACTTAACTAATGATGGCCTTTCTTCCCAAGACCACCCACCTCGACTTCTTCAGAGAAGACAGTAAATTAGAGCACGGAGCACTGTGTGCCTCAGACAGTGAAGGGTGCAAGCCTAACCCCAGTATGTGGAAAGACAAACAGGATTAGAAGTTGAAGGCCATCCTGGTCTATATGAGACCCATCTCCAAAACACACAAGTGAGTGCAAGACAGCGCACACACAAGGACTCATACTTTCAAACTCTCTTCTTTGACTAGAGATGCGGCTCACAGTAGGAGCCACTGTCTCGAATACCCACCCCCGTAAAGGGCTAGGAGCATGGTTCTGCAGTACAGCAACAGCACTTGCCTGGCTCTGCCTGCCTATCTGGTAGGCTGGACTGTGTCCCTAGCATGGCCAAGAGAATAAAACTATTCCAGCCCCACATCAGGTAAGCAGAGGGATGCAGCCAAATTGCCTTTGTTCATAGTCCAGAGCCCTCCTGTCCTTTTTTGAGACAGGGTCTCTCTGTGTTTAGACCAGGCTGGCCTTGAACTCAGAGATCCACTAGCCTCTGCCTCCCATGTGCTGGCATGACACCTGGACTGACCTTTAACCTTAAGGAAAAGTACCAGCCTTATCAAGCTACATTTGTGTCTCTATTAGGTGGTTCCTGGTTTCTCCACAATTACAGCTGCTGGAGCACAATGACAAATGGATCAACTAGGAAGGAGAGGAAAATATGAAGCTAGAACCAGACAGGCCCTTAAGAAATTCACTCTCCACTTGTTTTGGGTCATGAGGTTCTTAAATATGACAACAATGGCTCTTTTTATCCTTTTGAAGATATGGTCTCATTGTAGCCCAGGCTAGTCTTGAACTCACAGCAATCCAATCCTCTTGCCTCATTTTGGGATTACAAGTGTGAGATACTATACTACAGGTTTTTGAGGTTATTTTTTGAGACAGGATCTTACTCTTTAGCTCCAACTGGCCTGAAACTCACTAAGTAATCCAGGCTCTTGTCAAACTCCTAGCAATCAACTTTGCCTCAGCCTCCCAGGCACCTGGGATCCCAGCCCTGAACCATAGCATCCATGGAAGACACCCTTAATACTGATTCTTTTTTGTTTTGCAATGACTTGCATGTATCAAATGATCTGAAGATAGTTTTGTTAAAGAGTATGACAGCAACATTTTCCATTCTGCTCTCTACTTACCAGTAAGCAGCATACCCCTAGTCTCCATCTTTGCCCATCTCCTTCCAGACATCTCAACATGAAAATAACCCTCCAACAGGGCATGGTGGTGAGTGCCTGTGATACCAGAACTGGAGAGGCTGAGGCAAAATGATGCAGAGTTCCAGGTCAACCTGGGCTACATAGCCAGACCTTTTCTAAAAGTAAACAAACAAGCAAACGAATGAATGAATGGAAAAGAAAAAAGGAAGAAAATAATCCTTCATACTTTTATATCCCGATGATGACAATGCAACGCAGAGGTAGGTAAACTAGGCAAGAATTAAGCCCAGCCCATTGCCTGTCTTTGTAAATTAAGTTTTATGGGAACAAATTATGGCTGCTTTCACACAGAACGAGCAGAGCTGCATCAATAATTGTACGGCCTGAAATAATTCATTACCTAGCTGGTTACAGAAGTTAGCTGATGCTGTAGGATAGACTGCCCACTCTAAATGCAGACAGTTCTGATACACTAGCACTTCATGGCCCTGCAGATGCCATTCAAAACTCAGCCTGCAAACACTGTCACCGTAACAGACCCAATCTTGAGAAACCTTACCCAGGGCTGGAGAGATGGCTCAGAGGCTGGGAGCACTGACTGATCTTCCAGAGGTCCTGAGTTCAATTCCCAGCAACCACATGGTGGCTCACAAGCATCTATAATGAGATCTGGTGACCCCCCTTCTGGTATGTGGGTGTACATGTAAGGAGAACACTGTATACACAATAAATAAATCTTAAAAAACAAAAAAACCTTACCTAGCCCTACCTTCTCCTACCCTCATTTCCAGTATCTCAATGTCCCACCAAATATCCAGACTTTTTCAAATTAACTTCAAAAATCCAACTTCTTCCTCCAATATCCGACCAAGCCTGGTGGCACATGCCTGTAACCCCAGCATTTGGGAGGCTGGGACATGAGACAGGATAAGCAGTTCCAGATCAGCCTGGCTATATAAAAGACTCTTGCTTTAAATATATAAAAATAAAAACCAAAGTGGTGCAGGCCTTTAATCCCAGGACCTGGGAGGTAGAAGCAGGCTTTTGACTCTGAGAGTCAAAAGCCAGCCTGGTCTACATTATCTAGTCCTAGGTCAACGCGGGCTACCTAGACCCCCTGTCTCATAAGTAAATAAGAATAGGGGCTAGAGAGATGGCTCAACAGTTGAAAGCACTTTCTGCTCTTGCAGAGGACACAAGCCTGGTTCCCAGCACCCTCAGAGTCCCGGAGGATCCAATCTGGTCTCCACCGGCAACAGGTATGTATGTGGTACACAGATACATACGTAGGCAAAACAACCATACACAAAAAAACCTAACAATAATAAAGCAATACGCCATCCAGCACAGAAAAACCAGATCACAAGTAACTTTTCATAGGCCTGGAGATACACAGCAATACCCGAATTTCATAGGTGACTCAGTGGCTCTCCTAACACCCTCCGCTCATTCCCGATGCCGGTCCTTAGTCTACTCCTTCATTCCCCAGAAGCCTAGGAACGCTGAAAGAACTAAACGCCCTCTTTAAAAAGCAATCCCAAAAGAAGTACATGTCAACATCCCTAATGGAACCTGGAGCGGTACAATAGCAGACGCGTGTCCTGCACGCTCCCGCAGGCTTTCTAGAGGTCCATCGCGGCTCTGCGGGGCTCTGGGCGGAGAGTCTCCGCAGCTCCTGTGTGCAGATGGGACACAGAAAGGAAAGTGCCCTCCTGTCCTTGGTCACAAAGGTAGGAAGTACTCAAGCCCAAGCATTCTGGCCCCGAAATACTCATCTTGCGCCCACCAGACACCCGAGCTACAAAGGACACCTCTAAACCGCAGCCAAGCCTCCCACATTACAAAATAACCAGGACCCAAGGCGTTTCTTCAGCCGCGGGAACCCTCAAGTACCCCATCCACCTCAGCAACTTCCCCAGGCGCTCAAATATCACTTAGGCGCAAACAGTGGCCCCCCAATCCTGGACCGCCTCTTTTCGACCCCCCACTCATGACCGCCCCCCCCAACCCGGACACGCCCCCCGGAGCCCTCACCCGCAGCGCCTCCCGCAGGCGGCAGGGAGAATGGCGGCCCCAGGCATGCGCACTCGTGCCGCGCGGGCTGGCCCGCCGCAAGCTCCGACCCGCCCCTTTGTTGACAGATGCGCGCGTGACGGCCGCGGCCAATGAGCGGCCGCGGCTCAGAGCCGTGCCCATATAAGGAAGGCCCTGGAGAAGGGGCCCGACAGAAAGACAGGAGGAGTAGGCGGGAGGCGACGGCAGGGGAAGGGCGGGGTGGGGACGGCAGATGTAAGGGAGCGGAGACAAGTTCCCTACTGCTACACTGCCGAACGAAACCCGGGCTCCGACACGGGCCTCCGCACTTAAGGGGAGGAGAACTACCAGACAGTCCCTTCAAACTGAAGTCCTGATTGACTTAAAGATTTAAAGGGCCACGCGGCCAGGGAATCGAAGACTTGGGGCAGAAAGAAGTATGTGGGAGGGACGTCTGGGACCCTGGCTTTGTCTACCAGATGTGCTATGCGTGCAGAGGTTTCTTGGTGGGACACCGGGGGCTTAGTCACCTTACCTTTAAGCAGAAAGAGCTGTAAGCCAACCTGGGCTTATTGTGTGACTGTCGTAAAATTTTAAAAAATGCTAGAAAAACGGAATGAGCAAAATAACATCACCAACAACCCAATCCACAAATAGGCAAAGGAGAGGCTGGAGGGATGGCTAAGCGGTTAAGAGCACCGGCTGCTCAGGCAGAACCCAGCTTCAGCTCCAGCACCCACAAGGCAGCTCGCCTGTAAGTCTAGTTCCAGGGAATCGGCACCCACCTTTAACGCGGCGGGCAGTGCATGCATGCGCTACACAGACAGACCTGCAGGCAAACACACACGCACACACTATTCAAATGAGTGGGAGAAAGCTAGGATGTAGGAAATAAGAGGTAGGAGGAACAGGAGTTCAAGGCCAGCTTGGGCGACATTAGACCTTATTTCAAAACCAAAGAACAAATTCTACCCCTGTACTGGTCCCCACAGTCACTGCATTTGGCATTGAAGGCTAAGGTAGCTGGCCATGGGACCTGTCCATTTTCCCTTACACTCACTACAGGAAGACAACGGGAAGTCACTCACTAATGACTTCTAATGTATCTTAAAATTACAGACATCTTGCACTGTTTGTGGCCTGTGCCAGGCTGATTCAGGAGAAACCCAAAGGTGGCCTTCAGTGCACTGGGGGGGCCTGGAGGGGTGGTTCATCAGTTAAGGGTGTGTATGGCTTTTCTACAGAAGCCAACAATTTCAAAGATCTACAGTTTAAAGGTTTATTTTTATTACTTTTAAAGTGTGCCTGAGTGTGGGTATGTGCATGTGAGTGTGGAGACCCATAGATGAGGGCCTTGGAATTACCAGCACCAGTGACACTGGGAAACAACTCCGGTCCTCTGGAAGAGCTGCAAATGCTCTTAATGGTTAAGCCATTTCTTCAAACATAATCCACAATTTCAATGAGAATCATGAACACTCCAATCACAGGAGATTGCCTGAGAGAGCAAATCGAGAGGAGTACAGCCACACACTCTATACCCTCGTTAAATGATCCCAATTATTAGAGAATGCACATTTTCACACAGATGGAGGTAAAACCTTGCCTTTGACAAGCACTGAGGTCCTCCTATGGGCTAGTCCTAGGTACATACAACACTGGGCTCAGAGGAAACAGGAAAGACATCCACTCACAGGCCACATAAATACATTAATCACAGCAGCAGTTAGCAGCACAGCACTTAAAATTAACCACCTGAATTCTCAGATCTCTCTCCGGTTTTACTCTGGCCTCAACCTCTTTAGCACTGGGAGCCCAAGCTCCTTCCTCACCGATGTGTCTCATTTTCACGTCTTTATTTGGGGTCTATGTGTGGCATACAAATGTGTGGATGGGAGAATACAAGTGCTTGTGAATGCTCATGACTGTGTTGCAGGCAGAGGGCATCACCAAGCGTCTTCCTCAATCACTCAGCACGTGTTTTGTGTTGGGACAGGGTCTCAACTACATAGCCTTGGCTGGCCTACAGCTCATTTTGTAGAGCAGCCTGGCTTTCAATTCACAGATCCGCCAGCCTCTGCCTCCCCCGAGGTGGGATTAAATCGTATCACTATAACGGGTTGCACCTGGCTTCTGAGACAGGCTCTCTCCCTGAAACCCTGGCTGGGTAGTGGCTTTACTAGGTTGCCAATGAGCACCAGGAATTCAATCCTCCCTGTTCTGGGATTACACTGTGCATGGCCATGCCTGGCTTCTTAGGTGGGCTCTGGGATCTGAGCTCAGGACTTCATGATGCAGAGCAGGTACTTAACCAACGAAGCCAGCAGTTCTTAACCCATCACATATCCTGCCTGTCAGGTCTTTACATTACGATTCATGATAGTAGCAAAATTAAAGTGAACTGCATTAAAGGTTTGCAGCGTTAGGAAGGCTGAGACCACTGAGTTAAGCCATCCTTCCATCCAAACTCAGGCCCTTGGTGAGAACAGCAAGCACTTTTAATGGCTGAGCCACCTCTCCAGCCACCTCTTCCAGGCTAGGAAGGAAGAGAACTCTGAGGCAATGCTGTCCAGACTGCCCGTGCTCCCTGGCATGGATTGTATCACTAAGTCCGCAAGGCCATCACAGTCACTGTTCCCTGCCTAAAGTACTGTTCCTCAACTACAGCTCAACCTTCACCTGCCTCCGGCTTGGCTCAGATGGCCTCTGGGAGGCCTCTGATCCAAGCCCATAGCTTCTACACAGCAGACACATACTCTCAACCCTCAGTTTTTCTCCTTAGTGCCTATCACTGGCCACTGTACTAAAAATACTTTGCTTGTAAAGTGTGTTGTCTGCCTCTCCTTATTGAAATCAAAGCTTAAGGGCTGGCATTTCCCTTTGTCTATGCGGCTTATCTCAAACTGGAGATCCTCCTGCCTCAGTCTCCTCAAGACTGGAAATGACAGATGGGAAATACTATAGCTGGCTCGGCTGGCATGCGTGTATCTCCTCTTCCTAGTACTTGCCTTACTGAGGCACAGTACCCCACATCCCAGCCCCTGGAAACAAGCACAGACAGGTTCTAGGTCCCTGCCTCAGGGCAGCTGAATCCAAATGCACATTTCATTAAACAGTCCAG